CTGAAGGGGTAAACGGGAGGATCTTTGGAACTACCGTCCAATATGCCTGCTGAGTATGTCGTACAAGCTTTCCACAAAAATTATCCTCCTTGCATATGTAGGACTGCGTGAAGCCCAGCCTCAAGAAAAAGCTGGTCGCAAAGAATTCAGCTGCATGGACTACATCCAGACGGTTTCGAGGGTTATAGAATTCTGCCGGAAATACCGATTGCCTCTCGTTCTAACCTTCGTCGACTATGGGAAAACCTTTGACAGCGGCGAAACAAAGCAATTCTTTCAGCGCTAGTCGACCAAGGAGTGGGCCTAGCTCTCATGAAGGTGTTAGCCGACTGCTAGAAGAACTGTACAACGACGATGCAGCTATTTCATCGCACCCTTGACCATTCCATTGGAAAGGGAGTTCGACAAGACAACACCATCTCGCCGAAGCTGCTCATCGCGGCCTTGCAGTGGGAGATGAAGTCACTGGACTAGAACGAGAGAGGTATTTGAGTTGATAGGAGATTTCTGTCGAAAATTCGTTTTTTGGACGACATCGTTCTCTTTTCAAGCAGTATCACTGAAGTAGAGAAGATGCTGAAGAAACTAAACGGAGTAGGGAAGAAGATTGGATGGCGAATAAATCAGAAGAAGACTCATGAAGAACGCCCTCTGTGAAGATGCAGAGAGATTGGAGAGCATCCCCACCATGGAGAATTCTTTAGTGTATCATGGACGTTCTGAACATGGAGAACGACTTGAGAGAGGAACTCAACAGGAGAAGAAGAGCAGCCCTGGCCGCCCTCCGGCCTTTGAAGGAAGCAACTTTCGCACCCGGAGCTTGGGCTCACCTGTTCCACTTAAGCGTTCTCTCGGCGCTCTGTTACGCAGCTAAGACTTGGGCCACATGTAGCCACGTCGAATCTAAAGACCACCCACGGAACGCTTGAGCGGTCTTACGAAGATGACGCGACAAAAACATCATCTTGTCAGACTTCGCAGTACGGATATGAGAAGAATGTCCCGTCTTCGTGACCCAGCGAAATACGTCGCGAAAGCGGAGCATCGAGAGAAATCACATCATGAGAAGAACAGACGACAGATGGACATTAGGAACATCAGAGTGGATTCTCCGCGAAGCAAAACGTCCCCGAGGATGACCTCTAACGAGATGGACAGACTTGTTAGAGGAACGGGTGACGCTGAGAAATCAACTGGATACGATTTTTGCAGTGGCGTACCCAGGATTTCCACTTGGGGGGGGAGGGGGGTGACGAAAATTTTTTTTGAATGAAGGTGCGTGGCGTTAGCCACGCACTCTGAAAAAATTTTAAGGGTGCTTCTCAAAATTTTTGCGGGTCCCCTACCCCTAAAATCTGGAAAAAGGGGGCGTGGCGTCAGCCACGCACTCTGAAAAAATTTTAGGGGTGCTTCTCAAAATTTTTGCGGGTCCCCTACCCCTAAAATCTGGAAAAAATTTTTTTACAAGGCTAATTGAATTTTTGAAATTTTTTTAAAAATTATTTAATCAATTACAAGTATAAAGAAGTCACTAGCACATTTTTATAACCCTTATAAGTAACTTTTAAAAATTTCGCGTCCCATTCTCGGGGGGGGGGCCTTGGTACGCCACTGGATTTTTGCTCCTGGAACTCGAAGACGCAGCCACCGACGACAATCGAGAAGATCGTGGATTTCTGAAGCGAGGGACAGGGATCGAAGGAAACTTCTATTCTAGGGCCCGCACGTTACGTGAAGACGGGCCGTCTAGGTGTCTACGTAAGTAAAATCTAGAGCTCTCATGCTCGAAGAAACGTTTGATACAAAACTTACCTTTCCCGAACTTCGTTGAAAATTCTTCCTGTTATATTAGGTTGAACCGAAAGTTCTGTCGCGCCATTCCAAAAAGTCGTAATCTTCCTATCGCGATGTTCTTGGCTTCAGTTTTATTGGAAAGAGCAAGTCGTGCACCTTTATTGACATCCTGCTTACTCTCTACTGATCTCTAATTGCAGACATAAAAAATAGAAAGTGAGTTCTTTTGAGGTTTGGTGATTTAAAGCACGCCAGTCAAAAATCTGGAAACTACGCTATGAATTTTGAAACGACCAATTTCATAAGCTTTCTGACCTTCCGTTTCGGACTGAACAAAGTCTGTGCTGATCGGACTCTTTTCATAAAAAGTTGTGATTTCCAGAAAAATGCGAAAAAAATCGATTCTCCCTTTTCTGCTATTTTTTCGAGAATCATAACTTTTCATAGAAGAGCCCTGCCAGCACAAATTGTTTAGCTAGAAGGAGGTCGGAAAAGTTATGACACTGGCTGTTATTTTATTGCGCACTTTTTGAATTTTTCACGAGCTCGCCACAAATCAAGGAACCTCGAAAGATCTACTTTTCCGCTTTTATCTCCGCAGTCAGAGCTTAAAAGTGTCTCAACAAAATATGGTAGTCAATTTTTGATATTGCAAGCCTTTCAGACCTTGTCTGACTCGACGTCAAAATCGCATAACATGCCCGAAAACCCCGTTCTTTAAAGACCGCGAAAGCAACGTAAACAAGTTGTTCTCACCCGAACCTTCGCCCCAGTAGTAGCAATGTCATGGATCAGGACGCCAGCAGGACATGACCGGGCCTTGGCCACTGCAGCCCAAACCGCGCTTTGCGAGACACTTTAAGTGCATTTTTCGGAGGAGCCGAACCGAGTCGGACTCAGCGCGCTGGCATATTCAAGGGGTCCTCTTACAGAATATGCGGAAACCCGCACCATCCAATTTTGGTGAAATACTGCTTTTTTAAAGAGAAATCAGGATCTCGCTAAAAATGCATGATTTACCTTTACTGATAATATTAACGCCAAGCAAAAACATTGTGACAGGAAAAAGCGATTCTTTAAATTGTGCAACAGAACTTTCGATTCTAACTGATACATTCCTATGACGAATCCGGAGCAAACAGTCTTGAAAACCAAGAAATAGAATGCATTAACTTGTACAAATAAAGCTAAATCTTTGTCTGTCTGTATATCTGTCCGTCTATAAGTCTGTATGTCTGTCTGTACGTATGTCACGATTAAGAGTATTTATATGGACCGATCAAGAACAAACCTGGTACAATAGCTTCGGGGCGGAGCTTGTGTCTAGGTTACTTTTCGAACACTGATCGATGCAGAAATCTTTTTGCAGAGTTTTACCTACGAGGCTGGGAGTGGGCACAGGGGTATTTGAGCATGGATTACGAAAATACAGGGTGTCCCAAAAAATGTATCGAACGTTTGGTCGTTAATATCTCTCTTCCCAAGAAGTCTTCCCTTGCTTCAGGTACCACTGTAAAGCTGGCTTCAACTTAGATTTGCGTTATAGAACGAATCACTCAACACTCTTCATTACTGTAAGATTAAGGTAGAAACTTCAAAGAGGGCTTTAAGCAATGAAAGCGCATATTCTGCCTTGGAAAGAAAACAAAACAGCCTCAAAACTTTTACACTAGGCTAATTTGAGTTGCTGATTATAACTGTAAAGTTCCCAACTTATTATGATGCTTCATTGAAGAGTTATGCTAAGAGGTGGTGACCATTTTTTCAATGTACCTAAAAAGTGCGGTTACACCTTTTAGAAAGCTTCGCAATCTTGTGAATAGTTGAGTATTGACCTCAGCGTCCATAAAAATCCTATTACACAAGTTTTCACATTTTTTTGAAAAATTTTGAAACGGCAGCTTTCTCCACATTGACACCATATGTTTCAAGTTTCTACCGTAATCCTACAGTAATGAAGAGAGATGAGTGTTTCATTTTATAATGCAAATCTAGGTTGAAGCCAGCTCTACAAAACGGTACTTGAAGCAAGGCAAAAGACTTCTTGGGAAGAGAGATATTAACGATCAAACGTTCGATACATTTTTTTGGGACACCCTGTATTATTGACAGGGCCGGGCAGAGCCGGGTTTGCCAGCTAGTTCCCAATAATATTCGTATGCACTTATACAGGCTATAGATTTTCTGCCCTCATAACTTTCAGATGAGACTTCCCTTTTTTTCAAAATGCATTTTTCACCATGAAAAGAACAAACACATTCGTTTCATAGCGTTCACAACAAGTTGCTTACCTCTTTCATAAAAAAGGACATAAACCGATCCACTGCCACATTTGTATTTGTGAACATCAACGCCAAATAACCTAGGTGGTTTGTAAGCGACAGTATGATATTCCAAGGATCCTGCATATGCACGGCACCAATAGTAGCAGGTATCAATCCGGGTATATGGGCGGATAAGTAGACAAGGCTAGTGGTTATCATGCTAATAACATGATATCGGAACGGTTTGTCGAAAATACTCATCTTCAGAGTAATAATCAACAGTAGTGAATCAAGTATGAACGATATTGCTGTGAAAAGTATCAGCAAAGTTCCAAGCCAGATCCTGTCTGTTATAAGAGGTTCGTCTTCATGTGCATTACGGAAGCATTCAAGTGCTTCTGACATATCTAGTAGTGTATATAGCTGGTTGGAGTCTCTGAACACTGTATTGATTATATAAGAGCAAAGCTACAGAAACTGGCTATTGTGAAAATTCAGAATGTGAATATATCGAACCATTTCAATTTCGCACGATAATTACAATATTCGTTGAGGGAGGAACCATTGTGATTTGAGGAATTACATAACATTGTAAAGGGACCGCTGAGATAGCAGTGGACGTTTCGTTGTAAGGAAGCTATCATTAAGGTTTATATGGAAAGGGCGCAACTGATGATTTACGTCTTGGCATTTATTCATTTAATACGTTCATAGGTGCGCCACTTTGTTGGTAAACAGCAACATAACAGCGTCAAGTTAGTATATATCAAGAAGATGAAGAAAAAACCAGGAAAACATGAAAAAGCGTTTGGTAATCTTGGAACGGAAAAAATGCGGCGATGGAGAATTTCGATCAGCGCAGGTCGAAGAGCAAGACTCGATGAACCAATGTCGCCAACGTTAACAACACAGCTGGCAAGAACCAATGGTAGAGGAGAACGATCAGAGACTCAACCTAAACATCATCTATATGCAAATATTCCAGTACATTAATAGAGCCTAATTCCTTACGAAAAAAGGATGCGTTTTTACTAATATCCTTAGGTAAAAGGCTTAACCATCTTGTGGTTCGGCAGAAATATGAATTGAAGGTTTGCAAAAAGCATTTTTTACCTAGCTTCCTGTAATGCAAATTAAATCCACCTGTACGCTCTCCACTAGGCCTAAAGATCCGGTATTTACTGACTCGTAATTTCGTTTCTAATTTTAGGATACGAAAACAGAACATTAAGTCGCTAACAACACGTCTATACTTCAAACTACGCAGCTTTGAAACTGCAAGTCCAGCACCGTAGGACGGAAATGTACGGGAGTAATCAGGGTCACGGAAACATCTGTAGAAAACTACCCTTGTAAAAAAATTTTTCAAAAGTTTTTCGAGCTTCACCACATGTTTTCAAATGAGGTCTCCAAACAGGTGAAGCACAATTTAAATGAGGTAAGACATATGTTTTGTATAAACGCACAAAAAGTCCAGGTTCATTACTGGGATGCTACCTAGAAGCATCAACAGTGATGTCAGCGACCTGGTGACGACCGAGTCATAGTGTGCAGTAAATTTGAGAGCATCATCAACAGAAACGCCCAAATCTTTCACGACGCTTCGATACTCAAGCTCAGTACCACCACAGATTTATGACCTGAGGTTAGTACTGGTGTCGCCCAAATGCATAACAAAGCATTTTAAAAGATTCAAGGGCAGATCCCACATCTCAGACCATAAATTCACTCTTACCATAGAAGAAGAAAGGGCTTCGTAGGCTTTCTCTCTTTCCTCTTTTTCATAGCAAACGATTCACGATCATCGGCAAAAATCTGCACGTGTGTTTTTGGGGTCGGTTTTGATGAATGAAGGTAGATCGGCTGCATAAAGTAAAAACAAAAGCGGTGAAAGGATTCCTCCCTGCGAAACACCACTGCTGCACAAATACTTTTCTGAATATATGTTTTTAATGCGCACTGTCATTCTACGTTCACTGAAGTGGGATTCCAGCCATTTCAGCAGCTGACCACGGATACCTGCTCTTTCTAGTTTCAGCAAAAGTTTTTGTGATTAATTCTGTTAAAGGCTTTTGATAATTCAAAGTTAATGATGTCCACACACTTCTGGTGGTTCAGCGTACTCTTCAGGCAAATTCATCGTCACTCAATCTGGTTTGCCAGATGTTAAACCCAAGACTCGTAAACTACAACTGCATAGCAAATGCAATTTTCACAGGTCAATCAAAAATTCTGGGCAAAGCTGGCCGAGAGGTTAGTGCCCTTGACTATGGCGAGAAAGGTCACAGGTTCGGTTCCGCGGCGGGCCTAATTTCTTCGGCAAAAAGCTCTGCCCACGATTCCAGCGTCAGGCTGCTCATCCAAAGGAAGCAAGCGACAAGCCGACTGAAGAAGAAACCCCGTCGCATCAGATGCTTTTGTATGTCTCATCGGATATCTCGAGTAAAAGCTAGGGCGTTCCCCGGAGGCGACGCGCATTCGAGCTCAACGAGTGCGAACAGTATGCTAGGGTTACCGTTTCAGCAGGGTGAGCGGGGACGGTTGAAGAAGCTAGCTCACCATAGGCGAGTATTCAAGTCCTCAAGGTTACGTCTAGCCACCATCAACGTAGGATCACTCACAGCACGACATCGCGAATTGGCTGATCTTCTACGATGACGTAGAGTTAACATCGCCTGCATTCAGGAGACAAAGTGGAAAGGGGAGAAGTCGAGGGATATAGGAGACGGCTACGAGCTTCTCTACAAAGGATCGAGTAACACTACCAGAAACGGCGTCGGTATAGTGGTTTCAGAAGCACTAAGAAGTAGAATCGCTGGCGTGGACCGAACAAGTGATCGAATTATGTGCATCAGAGTGGATACCGGGAAGAAAATTCTCCGAATCATAACCGCCTATGCACCTCAATGGGTTGCACACAGATGGAGAAAGATGAATTCTGGAATCAACTTGACGACTACACAAGCTTGATACCAAATGACGAGATGCTACTGATAGGAGCTGATCTAAACGGTCATGTCGATGAACAACGATACGGTGCTAGCAAATGTCACGGTAATCACGGATACGGAACACGCAACGAAGAAGGAGAGCGTATCCTGGAATTCGCCACGGCACATGACTTAGCGCTAGCAAACACATACTTCATCAAGAAGCCTAATCACCTCATCACGTACGCCAGTGGAGATCGGAAATCACAAATAGACTTCTAGGCTGTACGACAAGACGAGCTCAAGTATGTGAAGAACAGCAAAGTCATACCCGGTGAAGACTGCATACCACAACATCGACCACTGATTCTGGATCTGAATATTCCAATCGGCAGGCAAAGAAGAATAACGACAGAGCAAGTAGCACGCATCAAATGGTGGAAGCTCAGAGACAACGACGAAGTTAGAGCAGCCATGGAGTCCGCCCTACCACAGCTAGAAGAAGAGCCAGAAGACTCCTGGAAGAATCTGAAGAACAACGTCCATCGGATAGCCACTAATCTACTAGGACGTACGAAGCCAGGAAGAACAAAACCCGATAAGGAAACTTGGTGGTGGAATGATGACGTGCAGTCTGTGATCAAGAAGAAGAAGACAGCCTTCAGAATATGGCAGAAGACAAAATCAGAAGAAGCACGGCAGGCATATGTAGACGCCAAACGAGCTGCGAAACGGAGCGTCAAACAAGCGAAAGAAGCTTACGTGGAGGAGCTATACAGGAAGCTGCACAGTCACGGAGGTGAACGTGAGATCTACAGGCTCGCAAGAAGAAGAGCAAACGCCTCAAAAGACGTGGAGCACTTCTGCAATATCAAAGATGTAGATGGAAAAGTGTTGAGGAAACCTGAAGAGATCAACAAGAGATGGAGAGAGCACTTCGCAGAAACGGCATCCACAAGCTACGAATACTCATCAGCTGCAGCGGCTGAGGCTGTACATGGACCAGTACCGGCCATCACGGAAGAAGAAATTCGAATCGCCATAATGAAAACAAAGAACGGCAAGGCAACAGGTCCAGATGACATCCCGAGTGAGTTCTGGAAGAATTGCGGACAGACAGGAGTTACATGGCTGACGCGACTGCTGAATCGAATAGTAGACTCCAGAAAGATGCCGAGCGACTGGTGTAGAAGTACGACGATACCGATATGGAAGAATAAAGGCGATATAGCTGAATGTTCCACATACAGGCCTATACGACTTATGAGCCACACGTTGAAGATATTCGAAAGGATACTAGAGACGAGGCTCCGACATCATAGAGTTGGCATCCAATCAATGTGGATTCGTGAAAGGCCGCAGCACGACAGACGCCATCCATACCGCCAGAATAGGATGGAGAGAAGCAGGGAAAACCAATGTGAGCTGCACACAGCGTTCCTCGACCTGGAGAAGGCGTTTGACAAGGTGCCGCATGACATCATATGGTGGTCGCTACGAAAGCATATGGTCCCAGAAGAGTACGTGCAGTGGACTAAGATGATCTACAAGAATGCGACCAGCTACGTGCAGTCAGCAGCAGGAAGATCAGAAGAATTCCCGATAAAAGCAGGTGTGCATCAAGGATCTGTACTGTCGCCACTACGTCATGGATGCGATAACCAGTAGATTCATACGTCAACCACCATGGGCTGTGATATATGCGGATGACGTGATTCTGATGGCAAGAAGCAGGAATGAGCTAGAAGACGATGTACAGATGTAGAAGACTTATTTGGAACAGCATGGCTTAAGACTCAACACAGTAAAGACGGAGTACATGGAGCTTGGAGCCCAGACCCCAGGAACCATTCGAGTTGGCAACACGATGATCAAGAAGACTACCACGTTCAAGTATCTAGGAAGTCGTATCGCCGCAGATGGAAGCCTTCACGAAGAGATACTCGATAGGATCAACGCGGCTTGTCAAAGTGGAGAAGCCTCACAGGAGTCCTGTGCGACAGAAGAATACCTCGGAAGCTCAAGTCCCAAATATACCGTACAATAATCCGTCCAACTGCCCTCTATGGTAGCGAATGCTGGCCGAGCACACGCAACGACGAACGAAGACTCGGTGTAATGGAGACGAGAATGCTGCGATGGACCACTGGAGTCACCATGCTAGATCATGTCTCGAACGACACCATCAGAAGTACAATGAAGGTTGCTCCGATCATAAAGAAGCTACAAGAGAAGCGCCTACGATGGTACGGACATGTAAGTAGAAGAGAAGAAAGCCATATCACAAGACTCGCCCTGTCACTGAATGTTCCCAGAAAGAGGCCAAGAGGCAGACCTAGAATGAGATGGACGGACAAGATCAAATCAGACCTAAGAGAGCTTGGATTAGATGAGAACCAAACATCGAACCGTGAAGAATGGAAGAGACTTACGAGAGTAGCATACCCCATGTGAACGGGAAGTTGCAAGGATATAAAAAAAATCAAAAATTCTATCTTCTGTACATTCAGAAAGCACCTACAATGTCCTACAAACAAACGAAGTTTTGCCATATCGCGTCGCAACTAAAACCGCTTGTAGTACGCTCTAAGCCTTCGTTGCCCGCCGCGATAGTGCTCTAGCCAATATGTTCCCTGATTCGCTAACCAACCACTTCATAGCCTACAAGGAATAAAAGAAAATTTGTGGAGTAGCGCGACGTTTTTACGTCGCGTGTGGTGTGATAATTGTGATAATTTAATGTACAGGTTGTCCCAACACACTGTTTGATCGTCAATAACTCTCTTGCTTGGATGTCTTTTGCGAAGCTTGAGGTAGGATTTTTCAGAGCAAGGTTCAGCTCAGTTTTAGAGCATGGAGCAAATCATCAATCGCTCTTCGTTACGGTAGAATTACGATATGAACTTCCAGCATATTGCGCCAGTGTGGAATAAGTAATTGACGAAAAAAATTCCAAAAAAATCTGGAAGTTTGTTTTCAAAGTTTTTAGGCGTGGTCATGTCGCTACACAACTTCTTACCAGTTT